GCCACTATACAGATGAAGATCAAGAAAGTAAGGCCAGGAGTACATGCATGCTTTACCTGAAGCCACACAGGCAGCTGGGAACAGGACTTAGACTGAAACTCAGTTGTGTTTCATTTCAGTCCACAATCCTTTCCCTTGCTCCTACCAAAGGGGCTTAGCTGTAAGCTGTGTTTAAATACAAACTCCTGATGATCAACACCAATATTATATATATTTTTTCTAGGCAATAAACTCACACAGATGAGTTCTGAGCCCACAATAGGTTGTTAAATAGAGCTGGAGGACTGGTTTAAAAATCAGTACTAACAACCAGCATATGAATTAGAACATTTTCACCAGGATGCAGTTGAAGTGCTTTGGTTGAAGACATTATTGTCCTAGATCAAGCTAAAATACTTGAAAATCAAAGATGCTTGGAAAACAAGAAACAGGGAAAGAATAAGCGCCCTTATGAACAATGGCGTGGAACAGGTAAGCTGGGGGATAAGCTACCCATTGAGTGAAACTTCCATCCCAGAGTCATTCAACATATACCCAACCCAGTACATTATCACAGCTCAGCCAACAGGTCTTCAGCATTAGCTCTACTTTGCTTTCATTGTGGTCTGTACCTCACCCATTATCAAATTCAGTGACATCGTCTGAAGCCCTAATCTTCACGATCTCAGGATGGCACATGGGCCACCAGCCAGCCAGCCATGGGCTCCCCTGTGTGGGGAGAGACGGACCATCTGGGCCTCTGCTGCTTGGCTGGATGTGAGCACCTTCCCTGGAAGCCACCACAGTGGCCCTGGCTCCAGGCACCTCCGGCAGTGAGGGTCCTGTGAGCTCCCTGCTGCAACATGACCAAGATTCCGAAAGAATGATGCTAGTGGAGGTGGTGGGCCCATGTGGCCCAAGGGCTGAAGACAAGATGGGCCAGCTGCTGAGATTTCCTGTCAGTGGCAGACACAGACAGGGACCCAGGGAACTCTGACCTGCACAGACCCCATGACCCAAATGTTCCCAAGTTCACATTTTCCCCTTCTTCCCTTTCCTTATACTCACTGCATTCCTGTGTGGGGAGAGAACACAGGACACCCACTTTGCAGACGCCTTAAATTATTTCTCCCAGACCACAGAAGAACTAATTAAATTGACACCTGAGTCAGATTTTCTGTTCCACCTACAGAGCCCTTCTCCTCTTTGCTGCCTTACTAGGAAATTCCACCTTCATGGGTCACTTATTTGTTTTTTTAACAAACATTTTAGAACATGTATACCAAGTACTGCTCTGAGAATTCCTACATCTATTACTGAATTTAATCCTCACAACACCCTCTGAGGGAGGTAATCCTATACTCTGTTTCCAGATGAGCCAGATGAGGCCCTGAGAGGTTTATGTCTTGTTTAAGGTAACTGAACTGGGCCAAGATGGGGTCAGGATTTAAACCCAAGAATCACAGCCAGAGTTGAGAGCATAGAGTTCTCTTTTGCTGCTGAACTAGAGCCAAATGGAGGAAACCTGTGTGCAGGAAAATTGCAGGGCGATAATTTTCTTTCTGTGACACCCCAGGGTCAGCCAAAGGCTCAGGACCCCTTCGCTCACATCATTTGTGTGAAATATAAATTTATCAACATTCAAGAAGAGGAAATGTGGACTACACCCCCTCCACTAGGACAGGACTTGGCGCTTGAATCTCCTCTTTGTACTATTTCTCAGATTTTCTCTCTTCCCTGGAAAAAGAAAGATTAATATTTTCCCCTTAAATTTTTTTTACAATTACTTCAGTATTAAGGTGCTTAAGCACTCTGGCTCAGCAAACACAAAGAGTTCTTAAGAGGAAGCAAGTCATTCTTCATATGTCAGTTTCCCCCAAATGCTTTTATTCACTGCCTTGCAATGGTTTCTGGGTACACACATGCGCCTGGGTGACAGGTTTCTTCTGTTACGGAGTATCCCTGCTTTTCACTTTCTTGTTTTGCTTAGATACCATGAGCTCTTTAGGAGTGGGTGGGTGTGAATGTGCATGCACACACAGATATGCACGCACAGGGAAAGGTCAAATGCATTTCTCCAAGAAGCTGAGCCTCTGGAAGTGAGCCAGGAGCAGAGCATGCATGAATTAAAACAGCAAGTGATCTAGACAGGCTCAGGGGCTCCTGTCCTAAGACCTACCTGCTTGCTTCCTATCTGTGCCACTTTGGCACTCTTCACGACAGGGGCCAAGAAGGCCATGATCCCCAGACCCTCCAGCTGTGGCCAAAATGGCATAAGCCAGACTCAAGTTGGACCTAGGCTCTGGCTCTTAGACTACCCTCTGTCTCTCAACCTGGTTGTGTCCATCCTCTCAGCTATGAAATGAGTTGAAATACAACCAATGTTCACAGTTGCAATTAAGATAGAGTGAGATAACATATGTGAAGGGACTTCTCCACATTCAAGGGACCAAGTTGCGGCTTATCACCAACTGAATATTAAAATGAGGGGAAAGTAGGCACTTAAAAAGTGATATCCTGTGCTAAAAATGTGGATGAATTTCATCTAGATGAAATAATTAAATAGGGCCAGATTACAGACAGTGCCAACCCACCATTATCCACTATGAAAGAGCCTGGGTACCACTCAGCACATCCCTTAATGTGGAGCAGCAAGGGCTTCAGGTAAAGGTTCCGTGCAGCAGTGCTCTCTGGCTCATATTGACAAAGCTGGCGAGTACACCTAGGGCCAGAGGCAGCACTGTTCCCCTCCTTAACTCTGGCTCAGATTGAACAGCCAACACAGGAGGAATCACTTTCCCAGTGGTCACCTCTCTAAATGCAAGGCACTGATGCCTCACCACATTCTCTGACCCAGTAGCCTCTAGATTTGCCTTCCCATGTGTCCCACCCTGCAGATGAATGGTAGACATGAGAAGAATAAGCCAAGTATTTCTGGTTCCATTTGTCTATGGGTGAAGCCTTCAGAGTACAGCACCAACTCTAAAACACATTTGCCCCATTATCTCTTCACCAACTTTGTACCAGATACCGGTGCTCCTAAGACCATGGGGGAACATGACAGAATACAACAAATTCTCTCCTGGGGCTCCCAGTCTGGAGTGGAAGGTCAGCCATGAAAGAGGTGTAATGAGCCTTCCAGGGGACAGCTCAGAAAATTACATATTCACTGAGTATTTGAAAGCTTTGCAAAGGCCACTGTGTCACTCAAATCAATCTTATAGCACAAAAAAGCAAGGATATGAGCCTAATGTGATCAAAGTAATGGCTTCTTTTATATATTAAAAGCAATGAATGTAAACAAATTTAACGACAGTATTTTTGTATTAGTTGCTTTGTTCACGACTGCCTAATTTGTTGATCTTCAGCTTAAGCGTTCATGACATTATGGTGATGAAATGATTCCCTGCTGAGGCCAATAATTCATTTGCTCAACCATTATTCCACATATTTCTTTAAGGTTGAGCCTTATGAAATGACTGACTGCAGATCAAAACAGTCAAGCCCTGGGAAGTCCACATGGTTCACTGCACACCAAACCCATGCCAGTCATTGTACTAAATGGGAGACTTAGGATAAGAGAGATGATGCTCCTCTTGTCATAGAGCTTATCTCCTAAAAGACAAGACAGAAATCACCCTGTAAACAAAGAAAGAAACGATCACTGTGAAGTATGATCAGAGCTATTTAGAACTGATGATGTGATAGAATGTGATTACCAAGAGAGGAGCCAGGGTAGTTCTCTGGGAGTGGACGCCATACTGACACTCACACTGAGACTTCCATGAGGACATGTGATCAGCCACATGAATGTCCATCTGGAGTCAAGATGGCCCAGGACAGAGAACCCAGCATGTAATTCCCGTCCCGGCTCTGGTCAGATTACGTGGGAGCCAGCGGGGAGAGGTCAAGGTTTCCAGAACAACCCATTCTTTAACCAAGAAGGCCAACCCTAAAGCCTTTTGGGGGCTCTGTCAATGCTTTGTTCCCTTCAAACACACCAGGCATCCTCCTATGGCTGGCATAATATGAGCAGCTTCATTATTTCATTCACTAAATTATGCTATATTGAAATTTAATCGATGAACGTAACAAGAACATTCATATGCTGTTGTTGCCAGCGTAAATTGTCAAACTGGTTTTTCTTTGTAAAAGCGTAATATTGCAAAACAAAGAAAACTCTGTCAGGCTGCTCATATTCTTTGGCCTACTGATTCTACCTCTGAGGGTTTACCTTAAGGAAAGAAACTGGTTCAATGGGATAAAAATGTCCTCTTCAGAAGAACCACATTGAGGTGTTAATTGTTGTGCACCCAAAGGAAAGAAAAAACAAAAACACCTGGAATTACCTTAATGACTGCAAATAGGGGGATGTTTAAAAATAGGAAAATGCATTTGATGAAATGGTGTATGCCCATTAAGCATGATAACAGCTTATGTACAGCTTCAAAAACAAGTGGGATATTCAGCCTCTTGAAAGAAGCAGAAAAGAAAACAACATGCATATTTTAACAGAAAACACCTAAATAGCACCTCAAGGTGAACAAGAACAAGACAATTGAAAAGGCTTGAATCAAGGCCAGTAGAGTAGAGATTATTTATTTTAAAAGTCCTCCCAAAATATTGTCATTGTATTGAATTTTAAATTTAAAATCCCTCAGAAACAATCTTGTGAGAACACGACAGGAGAATGCCACCAGAGCACAAGGACATTTGTTCATTCTGACTTTTAATACAAAATAAAGCCAAATTTGGAGATGCCCTCTGAGTTGTGTATCCCATAGTCGTTTGAGTATGTAACCCACCTGTAAGACTCAACTCTGAATCAAACAGTGCACTGTTGCATGATTTTATAATTGTTTCCCCTCTTTGGGGGCTGTGTAGGTTAAGGAGGATGGGGTGATTGGAATCCCGAGCTTCATGCTACTGTAGGAGAGAGGGCTTTCATTCCCGTGAAGGGATGGAGCAGAAGAGATCCAGACCCTGTCACTCTGAGCAGAGGCTTGGACTGGCGTACTCACCTTTCACAATCAGCTCTGCGTAGTTGGAAACGCCAGACCCACCATCCGAGCGGATCACGCAGCGGTATTTGCTGACACTGCGCTGGGCAGTGTCTGCCACGCTGACTGTGGCCGAGAAACGCCTGTGGTTAACCACACGAGTGACCATGAGGGCCGTGTCTCTGCCATTCCACTGCTGTAAGATACAGAACGAGAAGGAGAAAAGTCAGCACCACAGGGCTTCTAGCAACCTCCAGTATAGATACCCCCCGAGCCTATGCTCCTGGTGTCTAGAACTTTCCACTAATCTTAGGGTTCTCGCCCTGGTTTGTGCTAGTGATCTGATTCAAGAATAAACTTGGTTAATGATCTGATTCAAGAAGGGGGTGCCTGGTGGCAAGAAGACAAGGCGAGAGCCACTAAAGATCATCTTAGCTCTTTGCTCAGACTTCATTTGAGGTTAGCTGTAGCTCCTTAACTTCCGCTCTTCTATCTTCCTCCATCCCTAAAGCAGAAACCACAGCATTCCCCCCAAAGACAGGCTTGGGTAGATTAGTGAAGACCCAGCCCACTGGAGTGATAACAAACAGGCTGTCTCTCAGTCTCATAGCTGGTGACCCACAGGCTCTAAGCCTCACCCGTAGCAAGCTGTCACCAGGAATAGGGGATATGTCAGAATGCTTTCCTCCTTGCCATGAGCTCTTTCCTCTGCTCGGACCGTCCTGTCTCCCTCCACACCCATGTTCGGCTCTCCATCATTGCTAGTAAGTGCTCGTGACTGTCACACCACCATCTGAAAGCCAACCATGTCTTCCTGTCTAGCAAACTTTCCACACATCTTTGCCTGCAAATGTTCCTTTTTTACCCTGTGGATTCCCCAAATATAGGCTTCTGCTCTTTTCATTTCCACAACCGAATTGTTAGACACTTCTAGAATCAAGGTGAATACACACGGGGTTTTGTCTCTAGCTGCCTGAGTTTTAAGTGGGATATTCTGTGTTAGAATAAACTTTTACAGTTACAAACTATGATCATGTGTAAGGCACATGCTCGTGAATATTTATTAAGCACCTAGTATACACCAGCCCCTAAGCTGGGTATTTTGGGGTAAATCTCCTTTTAATCTTATACTCTTGTTTGAGGTATGTATTATTGCTGCTTTTCTCAAAAGAATTCAAATGTCAAAGAAGTTAAATAAATATGTGGAGCAAATAACTCCCTTATCCAGGATTTCCAACTTCAACTCAAACACTCTTTTTTCCCGAGGCCTTTCCCCTACTGCCTGCCTTAATTTAAATTTTTTCTCTCAAAGTAACATGGAATGCTTTAATTGTCTGGTTGGATTTAGGGAAACCTTGTGATTTATAATTCTCATGCCCTGAGCCTTCTGGGATGTGATCTTCATTGCTCCCTGCATAAAGAGAACAGTCTCACCATGTGTATAACCTACTTACCTCCGTGTCATCTTTCAACCCTAACCCACCCACATCAGTGACAGGTCGGAAGGGGGAATACAGGAATAAAAAGAGCCACCTTCTCAGGTATGTGGCAGCAACTGAGTCAGTACCAACACCATTGTGGGGGCAGTGAGCACAAAGACAAGAAACACAGAGTAGCCAAGTCCCCACCAGAGAGCAAATAATGAGAGACCTACCCCAGACTAGATGGGCGATCATAGGCGACATTTTCTCTCTCTTTTATTTTTCACTTTTTGGCATCCTCCAGACTTTCTGCCTCAAACCTGTATCACCCATATATTTCAATAAAATAAATGTGATTTCCAGAATGAGAGGAGAGACAAGCATAATCTGCCCCTCCCCGTATAAGAAACTACCTAACACAACTTGACAAAAACCAGTGTAATTGGGGGAAATCATCAGGGTTGAAACTTCCAACCACCTGCCTTGTACCCTGACACATATTTACAAGAGATAGAACAACTTGGACCCAAGTATGAGAAGCTAACAGATAAAATGAGTAATTTCCCTTTCCACAGTAGTGCAATGAGGAAGTCAGGGAATTTCTGACAAACACTAAAAGGTTGCCCTGATTTGGAAAAGAGATATGGAATGGCGGAGAGAGCTTCATAAGAGGTGGGGTCACCAAAAGGACCCCATTTTCCCCATTTCTGAGCAAGGCACTGCAAGGCCACTGTGGTAGTAATGGATGAGTTATTGAGGAGGCTTTTGTAGATATTTTCCAACTGGATTTAATTATAACATTATGAAAATACTTTTCTCTTTTTATTTTTAAAGCTTATATTGAAAAAAACATTATTAGGCACTTAGGTGTTTTATATTCCTTTTCATTTAATCCTCATGAAATATAATAATTATTATTAATTATTACCCATCACTCACCTCCTCAAGCATCACCATTTGTAAATGTGAGCATATGAGTGATAGGTATGACACCAAGATCCACTTATTTGCTACCAATTTTGTTTTTCAGCTAAGGAACCAAAAAAACGGGGTGGGGGGCGGGTAGAGATAGGAATACTGTGTAAAGGATGAAGGAAACTAAGCAAAATTGTACAAACAAACCATGAGACACAGCTCAGACAGCCAAAGTTTTGAAAAGCTAAGCAATTCAGGAGACTAAGAAAGACTGAGTGCAGTATCAACACATGTGATGTTGACATGGGCTCCACAAAACATGTCCTATGTGATGAGTAGATAGGAAAAGTCCTAAGAAAGAAAATAAACCTGGAGGAATCAGGGAAGAATCGTGAGAAAAAAAAATCCACATGCAGAATTCACCATGGCATTGGAAGTAAAGAGTAGAATGACCATTGCAGAAATTCAACACCTTGGAGGGCAGGATTGAGAAAATAACCCAGGGAGTAAAAAAAGAAAGTAACAAAAATTGGAGATGAACAAACTGATAAAGAAAACAGGAAATAGATTATGGCCTACCACAGAATGGCTGCTTATAAAAAAGAGAGTCAAATAAATGGACTACAAGTCATAGTCCAAGACTACAGACCAAACTAAGATCTGAATCTTCAGAATGAAATGACCATCCATGTACTTGATAAAACCTACATAAATGATATTCATAAAGATACTGGCTGTTGAGGACAAAGAAATAAAAAAACCTAGGCAGAAAACATTATTTCCACAAAATTGAACCCATTTGGTGAAAAAGCTTCTCATCTAAAAATTGTTTCCAAACCCAATGTGACCTCCTCCGACTTTGACTGGTCCACCAGTGGTCACAGTGAGCTCCCAGCAGACAACGGCAGTTAACGAGATACTTGTAAGAAGACGGGGCTGGAGTTATAGAAAGACAGGATAGAGGCTGCTAAGAAAAAATGAAGGTGTTATGGCTTCGATCAAGAAGTCCCTCAAAAGCCTCCTATTTTCAGAAGTGGAGCTTTTGTAACGTGACCAGATCATGAGGTGCAATACTTATCAGTGAATTAATCCACTGATTCATTCTTAGCTGAATGGGCTGTAAGGAGCTTGGGCCTGGCTTGGAGAGTCAGGTCACACTTAGGGTGTGACATGGAAAGGTATGTCTAGCTCCCCTCTCCTCCCTTCACTCTGCTTCCTGGCCACCATGACATGAACAGCTTTCCTCCACACCAGGCCCTTCCACCATGTTGTTTCTGCATTTGAGCCTGCCAACCATGGACTGAAACTTCTCAAACTGTGAACCCTAATAAACCTCTTCTCCTTTAAGGTTTAAGTGTCTGGGATTATGTCTCTGCAATGAAGAAAGTAATCAAAAGCAGAAAGTAAATTCCAGGTTTGTGAGACCTTAGGCAGGCAATTTCATGTCTCTAAGTCTCAGTCTCCTAACATGTACAATAGATTTGATAAGGACTCCCATGGAATTATTATGAAGAATAAAAGAGAAGGCCTATATGTAAAACACTCAGCATGTGAAGGAATATTGTGTTGTTGGCAGAGCTTTCCAAGTTAATCGTGAAATTAGCAATGAAAAGTGTACACAGGATAACAGTGTCCAAAGGTGCTCACATCCTAATCCCTAGAATTTGTGAATATATTACCTCACTGGGCAAAGAAGACTTTGAAGATGTGATTGAGGATCTTGATATTGAAAGATTTTGGAATATCCACCTGAGCTCAATGCTTTTTTTTTTTTTTTTTTGGTACCAGGGATCGAACTCGGGTCCTTGCACTTGCTAGGCAAGCGACGGAACCACTGAGCTAAATCCCCGACCCCACCTGAGCTCAATGTAATCACAAGGGTCCTAACATATAAAAAAAGGAGGCAGCAGACTCAGAGTCAGAGAAGAAGGGATGGGACAGAAGGACAGATCAAAGTGATACAATTGCTACCCTAAAACTAGTGGAAGAAGCCAAGAGCCACCAGTATAAGTGGTTTCCAGCAGCTAGAAAAGGTTAGAAAATGGATTCTCCTGGGGCTCTTTAGAAGGATAGCATCCTGCCAACAACTCAACGTCAGCCCGCTGAAATCCTTTTCTGACTTTTCACCTCTACTATAGGAAATAAATTTGTTTAGTTTTAAGTCATTAATTATGTGGAATTTATTATAGTACCAATAAGAAACTAATGCAAAAAGAAAGTCTGGTTAAGTGCAAAATATTCATTTTTCACATTATGATACTTTAAATTTTATTTTGATGCTGCCTCCATTATCATTTACTCATTTTCTTAATGATGTTAGATTTTAGCAGAACCAGGGAAAATTAAGTGCATCCCCCTGAACGATTCAGAATTTTTTGTTCAGCTCCTGCACCAAGATGCTGTCTCTTCTTGAAGGATAGGAAATTGCAGGTCGTCTTATAAAATCTCTGGAAAACAGGCCTTTTAATAATCACACTTGTCATACTGGGAACAGGCAACAGCAGGACAGGGACAAGCAGGAGGGCTCAGAGTCCTAATAGGAAATAGTGCTATGATGGACCATGGGCAAGGAGAAATGGAGGTGAAGTTTAGAGAGAGGAGCCCAGACAGGAATAGCCTATGAGTATGGCTGGCTAAGAAAGGCAAGGAAGGGCAGGCAGGTGCTGAAAGCTGAGGCAGTGAGCACAAATTCAGGAATCCAGAAACGGAAATCCAAGATATACTAGAAGCCTGGGGAATAGGTGCCCTCTTAGATGGTGAGAGAATCAGACATCAGAATGCTATGAACACGGAGAATGGATGTGTAGGAAGCACAAGTGCTAGCTGCCGTCTCAGCCCCACATAAAGGCAGAAGACAAAA